TATTGTGGCAATTTTTTTCCAAATTATTCTGAAACTTATGTATTGTTTGGAGGGTTCGCATTTGTGGTAAAACAAAATTAGGAGAGTCCTTTTTTTTGCAAAAAAAACTGTAATTGCTAAGAGACATTTTTCTCAAAAACGCTGTAGCTCAATCAATTTTTTGCTCATCTCCCTATCTGAGCCTGTAAATGCATCTCTATCTGAGTAGGTTTGTTTGCTGGGTTCACTATTGCAGCAAGCTGTGCCAGAGCAGCCCCTGAAGAAGGGAAGTAAACCATTTCCAAAATTACCAAATTCAAATTGCAAGCCTTTCACAAAAAAACCAATCCCTTATTAAACCCTTATTAAAGAACAGCTTTCCCACAATTTTCCAAGGCCCTGGACCAGTAGAGGCCCCATTTCACTTTAGTAGGTTTGTTTGCTGGGTTCACTATTGCAGCAAGCTGTACCAGAGCAGCCCCTAAAGAAGGGAAGCAAACCATTTCCAAAATTGCCAAATTCAAACTACAAGCCTTTCCCAAAAAAACCAATCCCTTATTAAACCCTTATTAAAGAACAGCTTTCCCACAATTTTCCAAGGCCCTGGACCAGTAGAGGCCCCATTTCACTTTAATAGGTTTGTTTGCTGGGTTCACTATTGCAGCAAGCTATGCCAGAGCAGCCCCTGAAAAAGGGAAGCAAGCCATTTCCAAAATTACCAAATTCAAACTACAAGCCTTTCACAAAAAAACCAATCCCTTATTAAACCCTTATTAAAGAACAGCTTTCCCACAATTTTCCAAGGCCCTGGACCAGTAGAGGCCCCATTTCACTTTAGTAGGTTTGTTTGCTGGGTTCACTATTGCAGCAAGCTGTGCCAGAGCAGCCCCTGCAGAAGGGAAGCAAGCCATTTCCAAAATTGCCAAATTCAAACTCCAAGCCTTTCCCAAAAGAACCAATCCCTTATTAAACCCTTATTAAAGAACAGCTTTCCCACAATTTTCCAAGGCCCTGGACCAGTAGAGGCACCATTTCACTTTAGTAGGTTTGTTTGCTGGGTTCACTATTGCAGCAAGCTGTGCCAGAGCAGCCCCTGAAGAAGGGAAGCAAGCCATTTCCAAAATTGCCAAATTCAAACTGCAAGCCTTTCCCAAAAGAACTAATCCCTTATTAAACCCTTATTAAAGAACAGCTTTCCCACAATTTTCCAAGGCCCTGGACCAGTAGAGGCCCCATTTCACTTTAGTAGGTTTGTTTGCTGGGTTCACTATTGCAGCAAGCTGTGCCAGAGCAGCCCCTGGAAGCCCAGAAGGGAAGCAAGCCATTTCCAAAATTGCCAAATTCAAACTCCAAGCCTTTCCCAAGAGAACCAATCCCTTATTAAACCCTTATTAAAGAACAGCTTCTCCACAATTTTCCAAGGCCCTGGACCAGGAGAGGCCCCATTTCACTTTAGTAGGTTTGTTTGCTGGGTTCACTATTGCAGCAAGCTGTGCCAGAGCAGCCCCTGGAAGCCCAGAAGGGAAGCAAGCCATTTCCAAAATTGCCAAATTCAAACTGCAAGCCTTTCCCAAGAGAACCAATCCCTTATTAAACCCTTATTAAAGAACAGCTTTTCCACAATTTTCCAAGGCCCTGGACCAGGAGAGGCTCCATTTCACTTTAGTAGGTTTGTTTGCTGGGTTCACTATTGCAGCAAACTGGGCATGAGCTGGTTCAGTGTCTCTTGAGATTTAGCTGAGTATAAGCTAAACATGGGCTGAGCATGAGCTGAGCATGTGCTGCATGTACTACAAGTACTACATGTACTACAAGTACTACAAGTACTACAAGTACTACAGTACTACAAGTACTACAAGTACTACAAGTACTACAAGTACTACATGTACTACAAGTACTACAAGTACTACAAGTACTACAAGTACTACAAGTACTACAAGTACTACAAGTACTACAAGTACTACAAGTACTACAAGTACTACAAGTACTACAAGTACTACAATTACTACAAGTACTACAAGTACTACAAGTACTACAAGTACTACAAGTACTACAGTACTACAGTACTACAAGTACTACAAGTACTACAAATACCACAACTTCATCGGCAAAAAAAACAATAGTAATTAGATTTCAATTGTAGCCAATTGAAATCCTTACTTAATTGAGGATATGTTTTTCTTTTGGGAAGAAAATTTTTGACTTTCTACTTTAAAGAGAGTCCAGAAATAGTTTGGGGGGGGGGCCACACACTAATCAGGACGCAACATTATCCTGTTGTTTTCTTTGATGGTTCACGTTTTTGATGGTCGGCCAAGCCGCACTGAGGATCTTAATCCTGGGACACCGAGAGTGTGACGCCATTTGTAGCTGCACCCGCATGACCATGGACCGCGAACGGCAGGACGTCTTTGGGTGAAGATTTCAGATCAAACCACGAAGTTTAGTATCGAGACCTTCTGTCCAGCCTGAGGTACCTGATAAAACCTTGATTTATGGAACCTCTGGAATCACTGGAAAGTCGATCAAGTCTCAAGTTTTAGTCCATTTTTGTAGCCAGTGGCTTGACCCATACGTCGGCTGATGGGATGATGATCCGAAGTGACGAGCAATGTCATCAAAAATGGCCTGGTTTTAATCCACGCAAAAACGTAGATGACTTTCCCGTCAAAAGCCCATTAAAACTAGGATTTTCAGTTGCCACCTTTGATTACCGAAGGGTAGGGGTGCAATTATATGAGCATACGAATCGAGAGTTGAAGTCAACACTGAGGCAATTTTAAGTGATTTAGACTTAGGTTCATTCACATTTTACATTTGAATTTTCAACAAGAATTGACCTTTGGCAACAAAAACGGGGATGGGTCGCCAGACATGGACTTCATGAGGGCCCTGAGGGGAAATAGCGGGGAACATGACCGACTATCAGGATCCTTCCAGCCTTCCACCTCAAGAAAATATGACATATGATGTCTATATGACAATATATGATTATAATATGATTATTATATACCTTTTATTTCCAGCATATCTTTCCTTCGGCAATGGAAATTTCTTCGGAAAAGCATCGAGTGGGTCAATCGTCCAGGATTCCTTTGGGCAGGATATGATCATGCAGGACCTCCAAGTCGCTCGATCTTCTTCCGCCTACTAGAATTGCTCCAAAATGACGACATGAAAGTCATGAGGAATATGATGGGGATTTTCCATGGGGAATAAGTTCAAAGTCACCATTTTGGGGTTGGTGAAGTGACCATTTCAAGGCTTGAGTGACCTCAGGGGACAAAGAGGTCACTTTGAATGGTCTGGGAATGGGGACTATGACGAGAAACCATGATCAACCGCTGGTTTTCGGGGCTACGGGCTACGGGCTATCTTCAGACATACCCACATAGAAACACACGTACGTTGACCTGGACTCCCATGATGTGTGATCTTAGGGGGATGGGATGGGTTGATTTCTGAAATAGGATTATTAACCAATTATGATTTCTGGTGTGATCCTCCAAGCAAATGTAGGGTACCCTCCAGTGACCAACCATGCAATAGGACATCTCACTTTTAAAGAGGACAACCCATTGCACGAATGGACAGACCGTGGGGCGTGCTTTGACATTTATGATGCTGTTTCCACAGTATGAAAAAGCCATTCACTTTGGCAATGTTTATTAGTAAGACCATGAACTTTGGGGTTGCTGCCCATTTTCAGGATTTTTCATCTTTCTGGTTAGAATAGATTACCCTCTGGTGAACTAACATAGCAATGGAAAATCACCATTTTTAATGGGAAAATCCACTATAAATGGCCATTTTCCATTGCTATGTTAGTTCACCAGAGGGTAATTATTTTCAACATGTGATGCATATTTTTCCCATTTGACCTCTCTCATTTTCTCGGACTTTGAGTCTATCAAGAAGTTCCTGAGGCCGTGATTCACCGCGCGAGGGCTGAAATGGGACCTAGTGCAGACATCAACACCGTGGCCGACCATGCGATCAAGGCAGAAGATTTTCGCATGGAGAATTTCACCACCCAAAATGGGTAGATGACCTACATCCTACTGGGCTTCAAAGTCACCAAAATGGTGATGTACTTTGATATGGAAGTTTCCTATGGGGGTACCCCAAATCATCCAAAATTGCTATATTGAGTATTGAAACCCATGGTTTTGGGGATCACCATTTTAGATATGGAAACCTCATGAAACCTCAATATATCTAGTTTCTTTTAAGTCACGGCCACCCCCTGGGGCGGGAGTTGAGTGGGATGATATGGGTCAGCAGTTGTTACTAGACAGGGTCCATTGTCATTCTATGTAAATGTCCTTGTGGCAGGCTGACATTTGAAGAGCTAGGAGACTGCGGATTTTTCTTCATTTTCTCCTAATGATGATATGTAAGCCATCCTACTTTGCCCAGTTTTGACCCGTACCTAGATGTCCTCATATCAAGGGCGTTGTGGGCATTACATGAACAAATGATCGTGAACGATGCTCCACTCATTCGTTGAGTGATGTCTGAATTAGACATTTCACCACCAGTATCTAGGATTTCCTTAAATTTTTTGACCCCTCCAACTGTCCTATTCTTGATGGTTGGTAGGAAAAAGGGTACCTCCCGCCCAACAAAAAAAAGAAAGGTTTATCATCATTCTCCCCATAACATTGCCCCTATATTTAGGACCCGTCCCCTATTGTTCAAGAAAACTATAGGGATTGCCGTCTGGTAATTTAACGTAGCTATGGAAAATCACCACTTTAAATAGGCAAATCATCAAAATCAGAATAATTCACATGCAAGTGGACCATTTTCCATAGATAATAAACCATCCATTTATAAAAAATAACCATCCATCTAGAAAAAAACATCATTTTCCATATATAGGTGAAAAATAACCAGAGGAAGGCCATCTATTTTTGGTTGAAACCAGGTGAACATTTTTCAGACCATGGAGCATCTGCTGAGACACAGCCAACGCCTGCGTGAATTGGTCCGTTGCTCGTCCTGGCTTCGCACTTAGGATCCGTTGCTTATAATCCACATAATAACCCATATATATATAATATACCACATATACTGTATATAGAATTATATATATATAATCCATTTACTAGGTGATATTCCATATATATATAATATGCCATATAGAATAGGGGATATTTTCCACAAATAATCGTGGGTATAATTCATTTACCAAGTGAGATGCCCCCCCCACGTAGGGGATCACTGAGATGATCTTGAAAGTGCCTTTGACTCTGCTGAGGGCTTGCCATGGAAATCACAGAAGTAAGGGTCACAGTCATCATGGCCACCGTTGGAGAGCCCCAAGCTCTGCAGGATATACAATATATTTCTAATGACCCATCACAGTAAGAAGTGGCATTTCAGGATTTCTTGAAAACCAACCCAAGAGTAACTGAGTTCAGAAGGCTTTTGCATTTGCGAGCCAATGCTTAGTGACAGGGACACACGGACAGTGAAATGAAGCAACCAGAGGGGTGGGTTCCAAGGGGACATACTATTTGCAATGGTATTGCTGACAGGCATTTTCTCATGTTTGACATGTCCCCATGATGCTTGATTCTTTCCAGAGTGTCTGTGACATGCTTGTCATGGGTGGGCCGTCACAGTGTCATCCTCAATTATAAGTTGGTCTTCAAAAAGATTGACGCACATGGTTTAGCATGACACCTTCGCAGGGATTTTCATGTTTCAATCTTTTTGATCCCGCTGAAATCACACTTTCCTGGTGATTGTTTGATTTTTTCCCGAGTTCTTATCATTTTGTTGAGGGGTTCTCCATTTGTGCCGAAGGAAACAGCGAGCTGGAGCTGCAAGGTGGCATCTTCGACAAGGCATGGTGGATTTTCCAGCCATCAGACCTACAGCCATGTTGGGATTCAAGCGACAAACAAAGGGGGCTTAACTTAACCAACTGTTTCCAATTTGGGTGATGGAGATTTCATGGGGATAAACCCATTGCCTTGGCCCAGAAATTGGATGGCCTTCCTAGACGAATCCATGAAATGGGTAGCTTCACCATCAACAAAGACATAGATATATAGATACGTAGATACGTAGATACGTAGATACATAGATACATAGATACATAGATACATAGATGCATAGATGCATAGATGCATAGATGCATAGATAGATATATAGATAGATAGATAGATAGATAGATACATACATACATACATAGATACATAAATACATAGATACGTAGATACCTAGATAGGTAGATAGATAGGTAGATAGATAGGTAGATAGATAGGTAGATAGATAGAAAGATAGATACATACATGCATAACTTACATACATTACATACATTACATACATTACATACATTACATACATTACATGCATACATGCATACATGCATACATGCATACATGCATACATGCATGCATGCATACATACATAGATACATACATACATGCATGCATGCATGCATACATGCATACAGACAGACAGAAAGACAGACAGACATCCATCCATCCATCCATCCATCCATCCATCCATCCATCCATCCATCCATCCATCCATCATACATACATACATACCATACCATACCATACCATACCATTACATTACATTACATTACATTACATTATATTACATACATTACATACATACATTACATAAATACATTACATAAATACATTACATACATACATTACATACATTACATACATTACATACATTACATACAGTACATACATTACATACATTACATACATTACATACATTACATACATTACATACATTACATAAATTACATACATTACATACATTACATACATTACATGCATCCATGAATGCATGCATGCATGCATCCATACATACACAAATGTATATGCTACAAACATATATCTCTAATTAGATCTATATGGGCGTGTCAGCAATATATTGTACTAAAAACACCCTTCCCAAGTTTACAAAAAAAACGAATAATCATTTTGTTTTTTGCATAGACACACACACACAAATACATATAGACAAACACACAAATATAAATATAAATCAATAAGTTCATTCTATATCAAGATATAGAAAAAGTAACGAAAAAACAAACAAAAACACCAGCGTTTTCTCCACGTTTTGAGGCCAGCGGCTGCGTGGAGTTCTTGGGCCACGCGCTGAGGCTCGACGAAGTGCTGCGCCTGGACGACGACGGCGCGGCGTCGCAACGCAGCGCGGCGGCGGCGGTGAGCCTCACCTCGGCCGAGGCCGCTGGGGTGGGGCTGAAAGATGTGGAGAAATGGTAGGAAACTATGGGAAATCTATGGGAGAACTATGGGAAAGTATGATGACGACTTTTTGGGTGGATTTCCATGTGTTTTAAGAATTGGATTTCACTTTTTAGAGGTTGGACTTAGATCTAGGCAGTTCAATGGGATGGACTGCAACAATGCGGATCTACATTGTTTGCCTTGGGATTAGATGGGTTCACCGACCGTATCCTACTGAGCGATCATGAAACCACTCTGGGCGGTGCCTGGAAATCAGCGGTAAATGGAAGGACAAGATAGACTGATGGTAACATGGCGGTGAAAGTGCTGAGAAAATGATCGTGAAATTGATGGTAAAATGACAAAGGGCGGCATTTCTTGCCGAAATGGCGTGGCTGCATGGCTCAGCTGAGTCAGTTCGCCAGTTTGTTCCAGGAAGTGTATCCCATTTGTTGGCGGTTGTCCTTACCTAGTCGTAGTAAAGCAAACTTGGATCCAATTTTATCCAATTTTAACATATTTTAACCATCAATGGGTGGGATTGAAACCATCAATGGGCGGTGGCATCCCCGTTGTGATCTGGCGCCAGCCCAGGGGTAGTTTCTGAAGTTAGACTCTCCACCCATTTATTCAATGGCCATTGCAGGTACCTAAATTGGAGGTGACTGCCATCTATGACCTGTGTAAGGATTTTTCCATTGATAAATTGTTGGGGGTAGCTCCATTTGTCTCGTCACAACATATTGTCAACTGGCAGGCAATTTTTTTGTGCACTTGTGTGCTAGCTAGAACCCCCAGTGTTGGTTTCTGAACGGCTCCCTGGATAGCATCAATCCAATCATTGCCCGAAATTTTAGCCAACTGACCCAAGTCTGATCAACTCCCCTGCTTTGTAAATACCCTCTGGTAAACTAACATAACTATGGAAAATCACCATTTTTAATGGGAAAACTCACTATAAATGGCCATTTTCAATAGCCATGTTAGTTTACCAGAGGGTAGGCCATAGATTGGCCATAGATCCACCATGAACTCCGAGGCCGCCCTAAAACTACTCCAAGAGGGCAACAGTCGCTGGATCAGTGGCACAGCCGTGGCCAGCAGGAGATCGAGGGATCTGTGGGATGAGATCAAAGATGGATGTTAACCATTGATAATTCCAGTCAAACAATATCCACCATCTCCAATTTTAACATTTTGATGGGTGGGATTGAAACCATCAATATATATACAGATATATAGAAATAGCTGGTTTATGACATTTCTTTACTAACATTATAAGATTTCTTGAGAACTTTGGGATGCTCATCGCAAAAATCGCAGCTCAGTCACACTTACCTGACACTGTACCAGGTCTTAGCCGCTTAACACCTTCGTGGGGAATTCTCCGATGGACATGACAGGATTTTTGAAATGATTTCAACCCTGTACCGAAAGTGGCAGCGTGAAATCCATCATTTTTCCTATCAAATCGACTCATCGACACCAAAAAAAGCCACCAATTTCTCGAAGAATCTTTCCATTTCCGTTTCGAAAAAAAACCACCAGCAGTTTCCCAACCTTTGCAGTTCCCCCAAGCAGTGAGGATCCCAAAGGCCATGGCCGGGGCCGAAACGGCGCCCTTCTGCGCGGTCATCGGCTGCGCGGATCTTCGGACGCCCGTGGAGCAGATCTTTGATTCGATGCCCGGGGAGATCTTCGTGCTGCGGATGCTGGGTGCAAGGCACAAGGCGTTGGGGTTTTCCTATGAAAATTGAGCCATTATGATAACCCATAGGAGGGAAAACCTATCAACCAACTAGTATACTGAGATAGGGGTATTTTCAATGGCTCAATTGGATATGGGATTTACGCTCCAGTAATCAACTGTGGCATGGATCATTTATAGATGATTTTCTCATTAAAGCCTCCATTTACAGAGGAATTTCCATTGCCACCTTCGACTACCGGAGGGTATCCAAGAAAACATGGCGGATGTTACCAAGCAAAAAGGCAATTTGCATGGATGGAATGAATGGTGGTTTAATGGGAGCTGTTTTTTTTAAATTTAACATTGGGATTGACCCAGCAAAAGGGACTTAACCTGATTTAACAACTCGTAATAGTGGGAGAACAATGGGGATAATCACGGGGATACAATGGGATGTAAGTGGGATTTATACGTATAACTACCAAAAATCTTGGTTATTGGGAAAATCATCAACAAGCCGGCGTATAATCAACCATATAATGGGTGTAAAAGGGGGGCCAGTGAATTATCACACTATTTATCCATGTGGTTGGATGGGTTGGGTGGTTGAGCTTCTACAAGGACTGAATGTCCCTTTATTTCCAAATAATCACAAATGTATACATATATATATATACATACATATTATATATATATAAATATATATATATAAATATATATATATATATACATACATACACGTACATTTATTTGTGGATCGTCGTGTATTTCCTTTTGGGGGGAAGTTGCTGTTTGGATGCGTTGGATAGGTTGGATGGCTGTTTCGCCAACATTTTTTTTTGAGTAAATTAACGAAACCAAGAATGGGGATAACGAGATATAAACCCAAATTTCTCCCAACTAGCAACAACGGTGATAACCGTGTTGTATACAGGATAAACCCGATAAATGTTTGGTGGTTGGGTGGGGAGATTGGCCTAATTTTTGGGTTGAAACAAGATTCGAATCTTGGAGTGGTCAGGCCCTTTGGGTTTTGGGTAATGGAGTGAAGGGGTTCATTCGCTTGCGGAGCGAATGCAATCACCAACCTTTTTGGGGAGACAAGTGGCTTTGCAAACAGCTTGGAACATGGTACTGTGGGCCCATGTGTTCAATCCATCGGGGGTGCATTGATCCAGGTTGACATGGCTAGTCAACAGTTGCATGGTTTGATAGCAACTGCGACCCAAACTTATATGATTTGCGTGGGCGCGTGGGGGTCAAACATTTTTAGAGCCAGCGACCCAGAGATTTTTAGCCATCCATTCTCGTATTGTCCATCTTTTTAGGGAGTACACCTCTTCCCAGCCAAGGAATGCGGGCAATACCATCACACATGCCAAAGGCGGGAGTCCTGTCGCTGTCAGCGTCAGCAGAAGGGTCGAATGGCCCAAAAAGGCAAGCTGACATTGCGATAAACAATCTCGGATATCTAAATAGTTTTTACTGTACATGTTTTTACTGTTCTACTATGTTCTATACTATTGGAGGTTGGAATTCGTCATTGCTATGTTTGTTTACCCACAAAATTGATTGAGTTGCTTGCGGCCCCCTCAACAGGCTCCTGGCGCCTCAGCGATGGAGCAATTTTACCCTGGCAATATGGGATCATACCCTCTGGTAAACTAACATAGCTATTGAAAATGGCCATTTATAGTGGATTTTCCCATTAAAAATGGTGATTTTCCATAGTTATGTTAAATTTCCAGAGGGTACCATCTGGTCATCAAATGTGGAAAATCCACGACTGATGGATGATTTTCCACGGAAATGATTCCCAGAGGCGAATTTCATGGCCATTCATCACCATGAATCACTATTGACCACCAATATACTATCCATTATCAACCATTATTATCCACTATCAACCAATATACTATCCATTATCAACCAATATACTATCCATTATCAACCATTATTATCCATTCTTAACCATTATCAACCATTCTTAACCAGAGGATACCAACCATTCTCATGGCCGCGGAGGGAAATGATCCAAATGATCCCATCCATCATCACAGGCAGCATGGTCACCAGTCTGGAGTTTTGCACCTGCAAGCTAATGACGTGCCACGGTGGAACTTGGTGTTTTTGGTCACCAAAAAGATGTAGACATGTGATTTATCACGATTTCAAGGAGATTTTACTTGGCTATTTTCGTTTTGGGTCGCTCAGATTCCTCGGAATGTTTCCGATTTGCTTGTTTTTGAAACTAACCATCTCATTGTTTTGCTTGGGGGCCGTCCGCATTTTGATGTACAATTTCCCCATCTTGCTTGAAACGTGGCAAACTGACCAAAGGTCACTTGCTCAATATACATAATCTGGCTGAGATCTAAAGTCATAGGCTGGTCAAAGTTGCTTAAAACCCCACTCCTTGGTTGATTTGTAAGGGATGATACTGGACAAAAATTAAGTTTCCTGGAAAAAAATCTAAGACCCTGGAAAAAAATATAAATTTACTGGAAAAACAATTTCAGGTTCCCCTGATCCTTTGCCCCTGGTCCCCTGGTCCTGTGGTCCTCTGGTCCCTTGGTCCCCTGGTCCCTGGGTCCTCTTACCCTCCTCATCCTGGTCCTTTACCCTTCTCATCCTTTGATCTCCCAAATACCAAATACACCCTAACCAACCTGAAATAGATCCAAAAACTAACTCTAGACAATATGCTGCAAATAACACGAAATGCTGCAGATAATCCCTGCGTAGTAAAGATGCTGGCTCCAAGATGCTGCGAGCACGGTGCAAACAAGGGATTCAAGGCCAAAACGCTTTAAATACCATGCAAATTGCATAATTAAGTTCCAAAACCCTGCAAATATTCTAAAAATAAGAGATTTCAGCTGCACAAAATTGAATTATTCAAGGCCAGAACTCTTTAAATATCATGCAATTGCATGTTTAAGTGCCCAAACCCTGCACATGTTGTACAAATAAGATATTTCAGCTGCAAAAAGGTTCAAAGTACAAATTCTTAAGTTTTTTTTCCCAGTGTCTTAAGTTTTTTTTCCAGTGTGGAGAGTAGGGGTGAACCTTGATTCTTTTTTTTTTCCAGTAGTCAAGAGTTTTTTTTTTCCCAGTGTCTACCCGATTTGTAAACCCATCTGTGGTTGGTGCTGGTGCTTTACCCCGTGATTGGATCGATCACCCTCATTTGTTGATGGGCTTGAGAACACCATTTGTGGTTGGTCAACGCAACACCTCGGTTTTTCATTCTTGATTCAATGAATATTGTTCGCTTAAGCCCCCAAAAATGATACTCGATACCAATTTTTCCCATAGCCATAAAGATTGCCATGTTCATCGCACGTCATGACATCGGGAATCCCATTCTATATCCCCATTTATATCTCCATTCAAGTTATTGTTTTGTATTTTAAAACAAAACCCATCATTTGTAGATTCCAATCCTAATTTTTAATTTTAATGTCCAATCCAAATTCGAAACCACATGTTCATCCGAAAATCCAATGATATCATAGCATTATATCATCCGAATCCAAACCAAATTTTCAGTTTGGAATGATGCTCTCTAAGGGTTAACTATCCAAAAAATAGCTGAACATTTCAGATGGGTGAAATATGATAAGTTACCCAGATTCATCCAAACCATTTTCGATTCGAATCTGCCGAGGAAACTCATTCTGGTCCTGGGCCACACTGCCTGCATGGCTTTGTCCAGTGCCATGTGTGTGGAGAGTTGCGCAGGGAAGGCCCGTGGTTGGGGTCGTTTTTGCGGGAAAAATTAATTAGGTCCCATAAATGGGAAAAGTCAATTTGGTTGAGACTTATCGGATTTGCTGAAGATTTAAAACATGTTTAAACCATTTTTTAAATAGCCCCAACTTGAGAACTAGTCTGTTCACCCATCATACCATTTCCGTATCATTGTATGACACGTCTAAAACCGCATTGATGAGGGATGCCAGTTTATCACTTTTGTATTTCCATTCTTGGTCGGTTTAAATCCTATGTAAACCAACATGTTTTTGTGCCGTTTGGCGAACTTTCATGAAAGGATCCTCTCGTGACCTCCCGAGCTATGGAAGAATATGCCCCCATGATATCCCCGAAAAAAAACCCACCAATTTTTGAAGGTCATTTTTTGCGAATTCAGAATTATTACATGCCGCACCCCCCAACAAAAAGATAGAACCACGTCATTTTTCATATTTTTAGAAATGGATTCCTCCCAAATACTCCATATCATCCTTATGTGCCCGCCCCAAAAAGCATAGATTCCAATGCTAAACAAGGGTTTCGTTTGGGGGGTGTTTTCTACTTGGAAGTGCAGTTCCAGTGAACAACGTGGATAGATTTCGTTCCATAGTTTTAGGGCTTCCCAAGTTAAGGAGGTTTACAACGCCATAAAGGTACAAAACCTGGACTGCACCCTCAAGTAGGTGATGTATCCCATGATAGTCCCACCAACAAACATCTATGAAATCCGGTCAACTCCCATTGAATCACCATTTTTGGGGCTTCACAAAAACCGATTCGCCTCAGGCATCGGACGCTTTGGTCCAAGGCATTCGTTCGGCGTCCGATGGCTCCAAGGACCGTTTTTGCCAGAAGTGGAAGATCCTGAAGTTGAACTAATCTGGGTAAAACAATGCCATAAACTATCCCCCAGTCATGTTACCATAAATAGGTGGTTTGTTTACCATTCCCAGATGGGTGGATTATTATTGTTTTAACCAGTGGAACATTGAACCATTTCGATGCTTTTTATTTTTTTTGGATAATACTGTTACATTCACGGCCAAGATTGGATGTAATTTTTCCCTAGTGTTACGAGTTCAAGCCCGTGGCATCTTGCACCCTGTAGTTGTAGTTGGAACCTCGTTTGCTCCCAGAAGTTCAATTCATCCCAAAACCTTCTGTTTGTTGACCTATAAACCATTATACATCCACAAAACATGTAGACATTAACATACATTAACATCCATTGACATCCATTAACATCCAATAGTATCCATTAGCATCCGTTAACATCTGTTAATTTCCACTTGGTCGTCTACTTGGTTTCCCAATTTGGCCCTACACAATCTTGGTTTTGGGTACCTTGGTTCAGGAAATTTCAATGGAAGAGGCTGTGGAACTGAATATCTACCACACCATGGACTGTCTTCTGCAGTACAGTAGCTGCATCCGAGAAAAGGCCGGGTGTTGCTGGTTTTTGGGGCGGGAGTGTAGGAAAAACAGGCCTGCAACTGTTGATTCCTGCCGTTGTAGAGTTCCTAAAGTTCCCCTGAAAGACGGTGACTAGCTGCGAACTGGAAGCCATGAGTTTAGTTCAATGATAGCTCCCCCAACTTTGAAAATTGTGATTTTCCATAATGGAATTGACAGAGGGTACATCAGTAAATCGACTGGTAATCAAACATGGCAACCACCCGTTGACTTCGATGATTCTGCGACGCTCATTTGGTTCGGGGATTCTCCAGCCAGATTTGATGACGCTGGAGGCTACTCATCAATATTCCATTCATATGCCATTGCTATTACCCTCTGGTAAACTAACATAACTATGGAAAATCACCATTTTTAATGGGAAGACTCACTATTTCTATGGCCATTTTCAATAGCTTTTTGTTAGTTTACCAGAGGGTACTATCCCCATGATATCACCATGATATCAGAGAGTTGCCACCACTTCCAGCCGCAAAAATTGGAAGAGATCCACCCACGGCAGGTACAGACTGGAGAATTGGAGATCCGTGGCGCTGTGGGTGGTCCTAGTCCGTTCGACTTCACACAAATGCTGGTCAGGGGGGAAAAAGGCTCTGGTGATTTCCTATGAATTACCCTCTGGTAAACTAACATAACTATGGATCATCACCATTTTTGATAGGGAAACTATATCCGGAGGAGATGTTATGACATCTTGAGTTGATGCAAACGTCATCTTTTTTGGGATGTCAGAATGACCCTTTTTTCATCATATGTCAATCATCAAGGCCAGGGCATTAGTTTGATGAAATTCCCAGCTATTTTTACGGACTTAAAACCTGTGTTTAGTTCGGCGATTTTCCATTGCCACGTTTGGTTACCAGAGGGTATAGCAATTTTATGCAATTTTCACATCCCGTGAAAAAACGGGTGGAATATGTAAGAACTTAGATTCCGCTGGGCAAAGGTAGCCCAGCAGATTGGCAGATTTCAGAGCCTCTCTGCCTTTGTTGACTTACTGAAGCACCTGTTTGGGCTGGCCCGTGCATCGCTGATGGTCGAATAGCAACTCTTGGCTAACTCCCCACATCAACCTCTCATGTTTCAAAAGGTCATCGTCGTCGTTTCCTTCAAATCCCGACCGGTTTTTCTGCAGTCGATCACACTTTTTTGACATTGGGGGGTTCCAGCGATCTCTGGACGTGCTTCAGGTCCAAAAATATAGATCCCGAGCAAAATCGACTGCTCTGATGACTGATCTTCATTTTTTGCCCAACTTGGCGCAGAAGCACATGATTCCCTTTCAAAAAAGAGAAAAAAAACCCAAGCTTTTTGACGGCGATTTGATTTTTTGTTCCAAGGAACATTTGACCCTCAGGGTTTCTGGAACTCAAAACACAAAATCAAGGGACATTCACCACATTTAGTTTCCAGATGTGGTTTATTCATGTTTATTCATGTTTATTCCCAACTACAAAGATCTAAATATATCTAAACATGTGAATTATTATATCATATTACCCTCTGGTTATTTAACATAGCCATGGAACATGGCCCATAGAAATAGATGGTTTACCGTTCTTAAAAATGGGTGGATCTTTCCATGGCTATGTTAAATAACCAGATGGTATATCATTCTATAATATTCTATATATCTACAAGGTGGTGCCCCCTAGTTATAAATTGGTTTATAAACCCCATTAACTATAGATATATCACCAACAAAAACCATAGTTATTGGAGTTATAAACCAACTTAGCTATCTAGGGGGCACCACCTTGTAGAATACGTGAACGATTCCCAAGTGGATCTGTAGGTCTACCCTCTGGTTATGTCAAAATAGCTATTGAAAGATCCACCCATGCTATTAATGGGAAAATCCACTATTTCTATGGTCATTTTCAATAGCTATTTTTAGACATAACCAGAGGGTAGATATGCTGCGCCGCGGGGAACACAACACGACCGAGGTTTACAAGTGTGCGACGGGTCATGTCCAATTCCTCCAGGAAGCCCACGCTGGACCCAAGGAGCCATGAATTTCTGGTGACATTTGCGGAGCTGGAAAGATCACCAAACGATGAGGAAAACCATAGGAAAACCATAGGAAAATGGTGGTTTAATGGGATTTAATGGGATTTAATGGGATATACCCTCTGGTTATGTCTAAAAATAGCTATTGAAAATGACCATAGAAATAGTGGATTTTCCCAGCTATAAAATGGGTGGATCTTTCAATAGCTATGTAACAAATTACCAGAGGGTATGGACAGTGTGTCAACAAAAGTCATGAAGAACTCATTTTTCACTGGGGAGAAATGATGATAATGATGATAATGATGATGCACCATGGGATTTTTGGATATTTTCGGGGGGGTGTAGAGAAAGCCATGTCAATGTGACCACCTCCATTGTGATGGGGACACCGGTGCCCTGGTAGCGACTGATTCCTGGTCAGCAATCATTGGTGAAGGGGCGCGATTTTTGGCCAGATTCTGACTGTTACCCTCTGGTAATTTAACATAGCTATTGAAAATCACCATTTTCAATGGGAAAATCCGATAGTTTGCTCACTTGTGTTCTTCTTCAACTTGGGGAGGGGGGGGTGCACCACCCCCCCCCCAGCTTTGTCACTATAGCCATTCATAGTCACTGTAGCCATTCACAAAGGGGAGGGTGGGTCCACCACCCCCCCCCTCAGCTGCCGACAAACAAGGGGGGGTGGGTCCACCACCCCCCCCCTCAGCTGCCGACAAACAAGGGGGGGGTGGGTCCACCACCCCCCCCTCAGCTGCCGACAAACAGGGCGGAGTGGGTCCACAACCCCCTCCCCCCAGCTTCCAACGATCAGGAGGGAAGGCTCCACCACCCCCTACTCCTCATCTCGCAGCAAATCTTTTTTTAGATTTTGGCCTGACTAGAAGTAGAAGCAGTAGTAGTAGTAGTAGTAGTAGTCGTCGTCGTAGTAGTAGTAGTAGCATAACACAAATTTACGCTTTGGAGTTAGTTGTTGATAGTAGTAGTAGTAGTAGTGGTAGTAGTAGTAGTCGTAGTAGTAGTAGTTGTAGTTGTAATAGTAGTAGTAATAATAGTAGTAGTAGTAGTGGTGGTAGTAGTAGTAGTAGTAGTACAAGTAGTTGTAGTGGTAATAGTAGTAGTAATAGCAGTAGCAGTAGCAGTAGCAGTAGCAGCAGCAGAAGCAGCAGGAGTAGTAGTAGTAGTAGTAGTAGCAGCAGGAGTAGTAGTAGTAGTAGTAGTAGAAGTAGTAGTAGTAGCAGGAGGAGTAGTAGTAGTAGTAGTAGTAGTAGTAGTTGTAGTAGTAGTAGTAGTAGTATTAGTATTAGTAGTAGTAGTAGTAGTAGTAGTAGTAATAGTAGTAGTCGTCGTCGTCCTCGTCGTCGTCGGCGTCGTCGTAGTAACAGTAGAGTAGTAGAGTAGTAGAATAATAGAGTAATAGAGTAGTAGGGTAGTAGAGTCGTAGAGTAGTAGAGTAGTAGTAGTAGGAGTAGGAGCAGGAGTAGGAGTAGTAGTAGCAGTAGTAGCAGTAGTAGTAGTTGTTGTTGTTGTAATAGTAGTAGTAATAATAGTAGTAGTAGTGGTAGTAGTAGTAGTAGTTGTTGTTGTTGTAGTAGTACACAGGAAGAACATGGTTCTGGCTTGGATCCGTTTCGTTTCGCTTCTTTTCCTTTGTGCCTTGTTATTGTTGTTCTCGTTGTTGTTCTTCCTTCTTCTTCTTGTTCTTGTGTCTGGTGTCGTCTGTCTTGTATTGTGCCTTAAACATTGCCCCACATAAATTTCTTAAGGCTGGTGGGGGGCATGGGGGGGAGGGCGCAGCGCCTCCCCCCCAAAGAACACAGGAAGAACATCGTTCTGGCTTTGATCCGTTTCGTGTCGCTTCTTTTCCTTTGTGCCTTGTTATTGTTGTTCTCGTTGTTGTTCTTCCTTCTTCTTCTTGTTCTTGTGTCTGGTGTCGTCTGTCTTGTATTGTGCCTTAAACATTACCCCACATAAATTTCCTAAGGCTGGTGGGGGGCATGGGGGGGAGGGCGCAGCGCCTCCCCCCCAAAGAACCCAGGAAGAACAGCGTTCTGGCTTTGATCCGTTTCGATTCGCTTCTTTTCCTTTGTGCCTTGTTATTGTTGTTCTCGTTGTTGTTCTTCCTTCTTCTTCTTGTTCTTGTGTCTGGTGTCGTCTGTCTTGTATTGTGCCTTAAACATTGCCCCACATAAATTTCTTAAGGCTGGTGGGGGGCATGGGGGGGAGGGCGCAGCGCCTCCCCCCCAAAGAACACAGGAAGAACAGCGTTCTGGCTTTGATCCGTTTCGTTTCGCTTCTTTTCCTTTGTGCCTTGTTATTGTTGTTCTCGTTGTTGTTCTTCCTTCTTCTTTCTTGTTCTTGTGTCTGGTGTCGTCTGTCTTGTATTGTGCCTTAAACATTACCCCACATAAATTTCCTAAGGCTGGTGGGGGGCATGGGGGGGAGGGCGCAGCGCGTCCCCCCCAAAGAACACAGGAAGAACATCGTTCTGGCTTTGATCCGTTTCGTTTCGCTTCTTTTCCTTTCTGCCTTGTTATTGTTGTTCTCGTTGTTGTTCTTCCTTCTTGTTTCTTGTTCTTGTGTCTGGTGTCGTCTGTCATGTATTGTGCCTTAAACATTACCCCACGTAAATTTCCTAAGGCTGGTGGGGGGCATGGGGGGGAGGGGCTGCGCCCTCCCAAAGAACACAGGAAGAACAGCGTTCTGGCTTTGATCCGTTTCCTTTCGCTTCTTTTCCTTTGTGCCTTGTTATTGTTGTTCTCGTTGTCGTTCTTCCTTCTTCTTGTTCTTGTGTCTGGTGTCGTCTGTCTTGTATTGTGCCTTAAACATTGCCCCATATAAATTTCTTAAGGCTGGTTGGGGGCATGGGGGGGAGGGCGCAGCGCCTCCCCCCCAAAGAACACAGGAAGAACAGCGTTCTGGCTTTGATCCGTTTCGTTTCGCTTCTTTTCCTTTGTGCCTTGTTCTTGTTGTTCTCGTTGTTGTTCTTCCTTCTTGTTTCTTGTTCTTGTGTCTGGTGTCGTCTGTCTTGTATTGTGCCTTAAACATTGCCCCACATAAATTTCTTAAGGCTGGTGGGGGGCATGGGGGGGAGGGCGCAGCGCCCCCCCCCAAAGAACACAGGAAGAACAGCGTTCTGGCTTTGATCCGTTTCGTTTCGCTTCTTTTCCTTTGTGCTTTGTTATTGTTGTTCTCGTTGTTGTTCTTCCTTCTTCTTCTTGTTCTTGTGCCTGGTGTCGTCTGTCTTGTATTGTGCCTTAAACATTACCCCACATAAATTTCCTAAGGCTGGTGGGGGGCATGGGGGGGAGGGCGCAGCGCCTCCCCCCCAAAGAACACAGGAAGAACAGCGGTCTGGCTTTGATCCGTTTCGTTTCGCTTCTTTTCCTTTGTGCCTTGTTATTGTTGTTCTCGTTGTTGTTCTTCCTTCTTCTTCTTGTTCTTGTGTCTGGCGTCGTCTGTCTTGTATTGTGCCTTAAGCATTACCCCACATAAATTTCCTAAGGCTGGTGGGGCGGCATGGGGGGGAGGGCGCAGCGCCTCCCCCCCAAAGAACACAGGAAGAACAGCGTTCTGGCTTTGATCCGTTTCGATTCGCTTCTTTTCCTTTGTGCCTTGTTCTTGTTGTTCTCGTTGTTGTTCTTCCTTCTTCTTCTTGTTCTTGTGTCTGGTGTCGTCTGTCTTGTATTGTTTCCTAAGGCTGGTGGGGGGCAAAAACGACGACACCAGAGACAACAACAGAAAGAAGAAGGAAGAACAACGACGAGAATAACAATAACACGGCACAAAGGAAAAGAACAGAAAGGAAACGGATCAAAACCAGAACGCTGTTCTTCCTGTGTTCTTTGGGGGGAGGCGCTGCGCCCTCCCCCCCATGCCCCCCACCAGCCTTAGGAAATTTATGTGGGGTAATGTTTAAGGCACAATACAAGACAGACGACGCCAGACACAAGAACAAGAAGAAGAAGGAAGAACAACAACGAGAACAACAATAACAAGGCACAAAAGAAAAGAAGCGAAACGAAACGGATCAAAAGATCTCTCCCCTTGAAGGGGTGGAGGTGGGGGGGGTGGTGTACCCCCCCCACCTTGGATGGGCACAGCTGGGGGGGGGTGGTGCACCCCCCCCAACCTTGGATGGGCACAGCTGGGGGGGGGTGGTGCATCTCCCATGGTCTGAAGGTAAGCTGGGGGTGGTGGATATTTAGGCTTTGAGGTAGGGGATGGTGCGTTGTGCAGGAAGATGATACTAGCAAGGCTGGAGGGGGGGGTGGTGCAGCCACTTCTAGCTTGAGCGGGCTTGGAGCAAGGGTTGGGGGGGGGGGGAGGTGCACCTCCCCCTAGCTTGAATGAAAATGAACGCCAAATGGAGAACTCTCGAAAATCCACTATTTCTATGGTCATTTTCAATAGCTATTTTGACATAACCAGAGGGTAGTCACAACCACATTGAAAAATATGTCCAAGTTGCAGATCTTCAGTTTTGGGCCAGTGTAAATCCCAGAAATCCCACATCAAGTTGCAGTTCAGCTCCGGGGACCCGCCAATCAGGAGACACTGAAGGGTGCTTGAAGGGTCCGGTGGCTCGCCGGAGGGTCTGAGGATCAACCCAGTCGTCGTGTGGCAACCATGGCAACTTTCATGGGAAGATGTTGATAAACCATGAGATTTTTCATGATACTAGCCATGAAATTTGGGGTAGCCGGGTAGCTTTCCAAATAATATCAAATCATCCCAAAGACATATAGCAAGATCCCCTTTGTTCGCTATGGTGTTTAATGCAGCTCGAAGGCTCGAAGGGTGAGATTTAGTAAACGGGGTGATGGTTTATTCATTGGGTTTACATGGTTCACCACATGGGCAACGGGTTAGCCGAGTGCGACCTTGGGTTAACAACCAACTAATCATGGATTTCGCTTGGCTGCTAGGGGGCCGCAAAATGTGATGATCTTTGCGACTTATGACTCATGACTCATGCCGACCACCCTGGCAGGTCGAAACTCGTGTGAACTCACTTTCATCATTTTTTATCTCGTCCCCACTTCGGTGAACCGCCAAGAATAGATATTCAATGAGCCATTGTGTGTGGTTGTTGGCAATTAAGATTCGCCCTTGATGCCCCCAAACATTCTTGGGGGGGTGAATTATTTTTTTGGGGGGGATTGGTTGAATACCACATGGATGTCAGGTCTGAAAATGGAGTCCCCCAAGATCCTCTAAGGCTATTCAATAAGGAACATGAGGGAATTGGGGTAGCCTATTCTCAAAGCCTTGAGTTCATCATCGCCTCGCGTGCCCCGCGTGCCCCGCGTGCCCCCAGGTGGAAGTTCTTCGGCCAGTTGGCCTCGACAGATTGGCCACGTTGCGATCGCCGAACCCATGCGATGCGTCCACAGACCTTGGGCGCTCCGCCGGTGCAGCGGACGAACCGCAGCTGGCGACGCACTGATGATGTCGGCCAAAGGACGTTTTTTTATGGTCAGGGACCAGGGATGATTTTTTGGATGTGTAAAAAGGATTAAACAGGCAGTTTTCTGCTGGAAGATATTTTCACTTCCCCACTCGTTTCATTTTTAAAGGGGGCATCATCAAAGATTGCTGTGACCATCAAATCATCAGATTTTTTTTTTCCCCTTCAAATCAAGTCTAGAAATGAAACTGTGATTCCGGGCATCCACTTGAGTTGGGGATTTTCGTTGCAGTTTCTGAGCCATGGAACCTTTCCCAAGAGATCTGCAACGCAAAAAATCCTTGGCTTCCAAGAATCTGTCCTGTAGGAAGCCCCAATAGTCGTGGCATGTCATCGCCAATCATTGCAATTTGATGTAATTTTCCATGGTCGGGCCTGGTCAGGTAAGCTAATTCTTCAAGGTTTGGCTGTTTTGCTTCGGAGTCGGTATCTCGTTTACTGTAGATCTCTGGCAAGTTATCTTACAAGCCACTTCCAGGATTCCACACCAGGACCCATGATTGACCAAGTCATAGTGTACCTCCAAAAATGGTTTCGCTTGAATAGTTTGAACGTCTTTTCTAGCACCCCCCAAAATAGAATTATTTTCTTTGTGTGATCCCCGTGGCAATCCATGTCATATATCCTGACATATATTCTGACATTCTATCTGACATCTTATCTGACATATAATCTGACATTGCACCTGACATATATTCTGACATTGCATCTGGTGTTTTGTCTGGCATTCTTTCTGGCATTCCTATCTGACATTTTATCTGGCATTCTTTCTGGCATTTCTATCTGACATTCTATTTTGCATTTTTTTCTGGTATTCCTATCTGACATTCTATCTGACATCTTATCCGACATATAATCTGACATTGCATCTAGAATATATTCTGACATTGCATCTGGTGTTTTATCTGGCATTCTTTCTGGCATTCCTATTTGACATTTTATCTGGCATTCTTTCTGGCATTCCTATTTGACATTTTATCTGGCATTCTTTCTGGCCTTCCTATCTGGCATTCTATTGTTCTTTTTTTTTTCTGGTATTCCTTTCTGACATTCTATCTGACATCTTATCTGACATATATTCTGACATTGCATCTGGCGTTTGATCTGGCATTCTTTCTGGCATTCCTATCTGACATTCTATCTTGCATTTTTTTCTGGTATTCCTATCTGACATCTTATCTGACATTCTCTCTGACATACTGTATATTGTGACATTTTATCCGGCATTCTTTCTGGCATTCCTATCTGACATTCTATGTTGCCATTTTGTGTGGTAATATTTTTGACATTCTATCTACAATTTTATCTGGCAGTCTATCTGGCATTCCCTTTGACATATATTGTGGCATTGTATCTGCCATTCTTCATGGCATTCCTATCAAACATTCTATCTTGCATATTTTCGGGTATTTCTATTTGACAGTCTATCTGCTATTTCATCTGACGGTCTATCTGGCATTCTCTCTGACATATATTGTGGCATTTTATCTGGCATTCTTTATGCCATTCTTCATGGCATTCCTGTCTACCATTCTATCTTGCATTTTTTTCGGGTATTTCTATTTGACATTCTATCTGCTATTTTATCTGACGGTCTATCTGGCATTCTCTCTGGCATATGTTGTGGCATTCTATCAACAAATCTGGCATTCTATCTGACATGTGTTCCGACATTCAATCTGGCACTTTGCCTGGCATTCTATTTGACAGCTATTCTGACATCTCATCTGACATTCAATCTGACATATTAAGTAAACCCCTCTTTTCCAGAATAAACCTTCCCAGTTGTGGCTAAGTTTTCCCAGCACCATGTCATTAGGTGATCATGTTCGCTTTAATCTGAGGGTACAACATGTGCTAACACTCCCCCACCTTAGTGACCTATGACTGGTACCGTACCGGGTAGTGTGTCATATTCCATGTTTTGGATGTATCTTGGATTAATGGGGTATAGTGATCCATCCCATACTGGGAATCTTTAAAGCACCATGGCACAGAACAACGGTGATCATCATGTCCCAATTTCCATGTCCATTAATCATATCCCCGCTGTATCTCCATATCCTCATCGCATCGAAGTTTGGCCATGCTGTCATCAGAGCAGACCAACAGTTCCGAGAGAAAACCAGAACTTTTCAACGGAAAAGTGCTCCGGAGCTGCACGGGGCTTGATGTTTCCAAAGCGTCGTGAGCCATCACAAGTTTCGTTTCTTTTTCCGAAAAACCAGCGAAAGAATGAACACCCACCTGCCAGGCATTTTGGAGGTGTAAACTAAGGTACACCCCTAGGCTAATGCCGGGGTTGGACCGCTATCAAGCCCTGAAAAGCATGAGTTTTCAAGCGAGTTGCGGCGGTTTATTTGTCGCGTTGTCGCAGAGGTGGTGCGTCGGTCAAACGGTGAAGGTTCAAGACACGAGAAACTCGAAAGCTGTTGGAAACCAAAGTTTTACCCATTTAGAAAGGGGGATAAACCAATTAAGGGGTATATGAATTCTGCCAGTCAGAATGGCGCCTCTAGCTGTCAAAGTGAATGCAATACGTGAGCTGCATGTTGAGCTTGTGCTGAAACTGGGTAAATCTGAAATCATTGGTTTCACCATCCGGGAGTAGTCCCATTTCGAGAATTTCTTGTATGTTTTTTTTTGGATGCTTAGATATCTTAGATCTTTCAAGCTTGAACATATCTGAATGATTAGGGAGCCATTGAAATAAGCAACAAACCTCAGGGTATGTAATCGATCTTGGGAGCCTACGCGTTGACTTGGCATCCCAAGCAAGGTGGTGCCCATCCAACGAGCAAATCGACGACCTGGATTTCTATCAGATGTATATTGGGATGATGTGTAGGATGAGAATGACAATCGACTACAATAACTAGATATGAACAATAAACACAATTATAAATATATTTAGAGTATATACATAATACTATACAACAAAGGTAACAGCCATGATAATACAATATAACAACCATTGGACTTCCACCCACCGAAAAACGCACCGAATGAGTCGTCACATGGCGGGCAAGTGCCCCACCAGCGTAGTCCGGAGGAGTCCGGCGCTGGGAAAACATGGGGGTTTCCTAAATCATGGGGATACCCCAAGCTCGCTGGATGGTTTATTTCATGGAACATCCGAAAATAACATGGATGAAAAATGGGTATCCCCATGGATTGGAAACGTCCATATGAATATGTATTGGTAGTATTGTACTATATTAAAACATGTGTTATGTCTGTTATATTACTCATGTAATAGCTATGTATGTTTTCTGACCTACCCCCAGACATCCTATAATAGGTGTGAATATCTGTGTGCTTAGACAAAAAGGGCCTGGAAATTGGGCGATGACCCATGGCCTTGGGCGATGACTCAGATATCAAAGCACAGTGCTCTCAAACCATTGGCTTCCCTGAAAAAAAGGCAACACAATTCTTTCATGATTTTGGGGTTTGCTTAGTTTGCTGTGGCAACGGGTTAGGATCGTCACACGGAGTGCAACTGGGCAATAACCCTGGTTGGATCTGGTTAGTATGTTCCCCAGCTTTCTTATCCCATTCATGACTGAATTCAAAGCCCACAAACACCAACCCGTTAAGAGGATCGTTGAGTTTCATTCTTTCGGGCATTCCGGCATTCCGTTTGTTTCGAAACACCGTGGAAAATTCCACGTCTCCCACGCGTCGGTTCCTGACAAGGTGGCTCAGCCTCGCGGCAAGACCCTCAAACCCGTCCCGTTATGTGAAAAAACCGCTGGTTGGAGTTGATGGTTCCGTCGGATCCATGGCTTACACCCCAGTAACTGGACTGTCCCTGGGGACCACTCCATCGATCCGGTGGAACCAGCGGGGATGATGGTTGGTTGATGGTGATAAGATGAAGATTCAGGGATTAACACATGGGGTTGAACTTTTGACCCCTACCCAAATGGCTACTGGAGGGTGCCAAATGGGGCGTATACAACTTATACCAAACATAGAACATCTGGGTCAAAATCTACAAGCTTCAGCTGGGTCCAGTGCTGAAGGGTTTGTCAGGTTGTCCGAAAACAGGGAACCTCCATTTATCTTATCGATGAATCATCATTTTCCTTATGAAAGTGGCCAGGAAGTATATAATCCATGTCAATCCGTTGTTTTCAGGTACCACACCCCTATAGAACCCCATTGATATCATGTTGTTGCTTAGTATATATATCTACACATATATATATATTTTTATAACCCATTATTTGCCCATAACTTATATCTGTGATTCCATGGATTCCTTTTTATCATTTTCAGAAAGTTCTCCGACCATTCCAAGGCTGTGTGTCCTTGGAATATACCCACAGGTAGAGAAAAATGTGTTAGAAAAACCACTTTTTAAACCCTTATAATATAAGGTTGTAAATCCCAGTTCGGATTTGCTAAGTTGGTTTGTTATGGTTTATTTATAACTCCAATAAGCTTTGGGTTTATGATAACTATAAGACACTAGTTACATGGTTCAAATACCAACAAACACAACTGGGGGCAGCGCCTTGTAGGGTTTTGGCAGGGATACACAGGGTTATTTACAATGGCTGCAAGGAGTGTTATATATAATATTATATATATATTATATATTATATTATATATATTATATATATATTATATTATATTATATATTATATTATATATATTATATATTATATTATATATATTATATATTATATTATATATATTATATATTATATTATATATATTATATTATATATATATTATATTATAGTATATATATATTATATTATATAAATATATTATATTATCATTATATTATATAAATATATTATATATAATATATTATATATAATCTATCTAATCTATCTATCTATCTACCTACCTATCTATCTATCTATCTATCTTTCTATCTATCTATCTATCTATCTATTCTTTCTATCTATTCTTTCTATCTATTCTTTCTATCTATTCTTTCTATCTATTCTTTCTATCTATCTATCTATCTATCTCTATATCTCTATATCTCTATATCTCTATATCTCTATATCTCTATATCTCTATATCTCTATATCTCTATATCTATATCTATATATATTTATTCTATAGTGGTATATAGTGGTTAATACACTCAAGGTTGCTCCCAGTCATTGTAAATGAAAAAGGGTAAACGGATCATTTTACCTCTATATTTACCTACATTTACCCACTTCACCCCCTTGTATCGGGTGGAGCAACCCTGATAGCCCCAAGAAGCCACAGTCGACCCCTCCAGGCGGAACTCTTGAGGAACTCCTTGCCCTTGCGTGCGAGCAGCCAGGAATCCATGTCCGATCTTTGGGAAGATCGAAGAGGGGACATCTTAGATCTTGGTGAGGAAGTCTTGCTGTAGATTTTTAGGAAAATCCTTGATTTTTACATTTTTTGCTCATTGAAAGGAACTTGGGGTGAAAACCTCGGAACTGCCCTAGTTGGAGAGGATTAAGATCCATAATTCCCAACTATTTTGATGTGAAAAGCCAGCGTATTTATCGGGTTTTGGCCAGCCATCTTGAACATGTCAACATCTTAAATCATTGGATGAAACACGCGGTGTTGGGGTCGAACCTGGACTATATAAACATCATAACATATGTGCCACTGTCAGAACACGGGTTGTTTTCTATTGGGGGATGCTCAATCCATGAAGATGGATTCACATACCCATTATGAGGATTGCCGTTATGGAATGCACGAGCATCAATCATATATCTGGGTAAATTATAACGACCTCGCTGCGACCTCACTGGAATCATGATTAATAAGGGAAATCATCCCCAAATGGCCTTAATTCAGGTTAGTGAAATATTATATTTACCCAGATATATGATGTTTTGACCCTAGCACATATGGAAGCCAGAAATTGAAAAGATCGAACACAGGCGGATCAGGTGCTTCGCAGCGTGGAATGGGCTCAGGCCATAGACATGAGGTACTGGGAGTATCCACTGAGTAAGTGATGAATAAAACCTGGTTAGCAAGTCCCAAAAATTGGGTCATCCCATGTTATAAATGGGATATCACTCTGGTTATGGCTAGCAGTTGCTACGGGGTGATCCTCTGATTCAGATCCTGATGGGTGACCAGCGATGGAAATTGCCAGCGTCCATGCAGCTAGGTGTGAGAAATGGCGCAGGTATTGACACCTCAAAATACATGGATTTAAAATATGGGTATGTGAAGTGCAACCCCATCATATCCCTGGCAAAAGCGATCAAACACGGTGAAACTTTCATGGTTTTCGATGCTTTTCAGGACACCAGTGCGCCTTTGCTCTTCTGCTTGCAGCACAGGGGTCCGCACCTGAGTTTTTCTGGATCCATCACAGCAACATGACAACCCTGCCATGACTTAGGGGGTTGGAAGACTATTTCCTCTAAGAGTGGACCATTCCTGGAGGTCAAGTAGACCAGATTGGGTTCGCAGGGTTTCAAACTGAGTACAGCAACAGAACTTGGTTTAGCCAAAGGTCTCTTGAACACTACCATGTTGGCTGATTTTGGACATTTTTGTTGGGGGCATGAGAGAAAATCCTGCAATTGTTGTAGGTTGCAGTCGCAGCCAGGTGGCCTCCAAACTTCGAGGGCTTGACGCAACTGGCATCATCCCTGGAGGCGGCTTTGAGAATGGGAGCCCCAGTCGTGGCCATGTGAATAGGGAGAATGAGGACTAACCCTTGGATTATGTGTTTCGAAGAATTTCCAGAGAAAGGTGCCAACATGTTTCCATCCATATTGGATGGGTCCAAGAATGGGATAGTGGTGGACATTTTTAGAGTGAACATGGTGATTATTATCCAGTGGCTGGAAAGGGGTACCCTATTTTCAGACGAATCCATATGCCATATACTGGAAATCAGGTAGCCAAATTGAAGGCTCATTGAACATGCAGTTTGGGGTCATTTTGTGGCAGTTCTTTGGTTCAAGGCGGTAAACTCCTCTAAACATATACACTATTAACTCATATAAGCCCTAGTTAGCCTAGTGATTTCTACCTTGTGGGCACCTAAAAATCAAAAGCGGCACTGCGAGGCCTCTCCGCGCTGGCCAAATGCCGAGCGGCTCTGGCGTCAGAGCGCGCCCTGGAGGTTTTCGCAGGGCGCAGAGGTCGGCCCTGCGGAAGATGGTTGATTTTCCCACTGGGAAATCCACTTGGGAGAATCCATGGCAAATCCAAGTGAAGAAAACGGCAAATCTGTAGGGAATCTATAACGAATCCAAGTGGAAAAAACGACAACGATTTTCCCAAAAGCAAGCTGTAAACTTCTCCCAGTCACCAATCTTTGAATCTCCCCTTGAGGAGCTTGGCGCTGAGCTGCGACTGCACCTGCTCAGGATGTGACACCTGTTTTTGGGTTTAACCCCTGGTGATTCGGATGAAAGTCATGAGTTGGGTCTCCAAAATTCGGGGCCAAGCGGTGGTTGAAATGTGGGATGAGATCGATGAGATCGGATTTGGGATTCAGCTTTAGCATCACTCATCGAGCTTGACATGGCAGGGCCAATTAGCGCCGCCCGGTTGAACTTGGCGAACTACGTCAAGAATTGCTGGATTGTAACGATTAAAATTTATCCACAACAATCTTTGGACCAGGAAAACCAAAAAACAATCAATGTGTATCATCAAAAACACCAAATCATTCGAGGTCTTTATGTACATGGTTTTCTATTGAACAAGTAACTACAACAGGTAGCTAAACATCTAGTCACATCACTACGATCTTTACGGTCAAAGTCTCCCATTTTTTCCACGGACTTTTGACCGGTTTCCATCTCCCCATTTTTCCATGGGATTGAACATAGGGGCACCCAAAAATGGTGATGTGGGTAAAACAATGGCATAAACCACCCATGTGGGAATGGTTTATACTATCTATTTATGGTGATTTGGGTATGGATCAATACCTATTAATACCATTTTTAGTGGGTTATTCACATCCATAAATCCCAGCTATTTTGATGTGAACTACAGGGGTACTATTGGTTTTGACACACTGCCATTTATGAATCCCATGAGATCCCATCCCTGGGACCGGTCAGGACCGGTTTCGTTCCGCATCGTCGAACCGTGCGCTTCCGCGGCTCAGCAGTGCGTGATGGGCGGCACGACTTCGAAGCCGGGGAGGTGCGGCAGCGAAGCCAAAATCGCCTTTCATGGAGATGTAGCCAACCAAAACGATGGTATAACAAGGATATATAAATATATACACATACATATACATCGACAATATATAAAATATAATATATAATATATAATATATAAAATATAATATATACAATATATAAAATATAATGTATGTATATAATATATGAAACATAATATATACAATATATAAAATATAATGTATGTAAATAATGTAATACATGATATATACTATATATAATGTATAATATAAACTATAATATATGATATTTAATATAATATGTATAATATATGCTATATCATGAATAATATTTAATATTTAATATTTAATATATAATATACACTATATAATATATGGCAAACGATATATAATATAATATTTATGATATAATATATAATAGATAATATAGAATATATGATATATGATATATAATATATAATGTATAAAATATGATATATGATATATGATATCTAATATCTAATATCTAATATCTAATATCTAATATATGATATGTGATACACAATATATAATATATAATATTGAATATATAATATATGATATTTGATATATAATATATAATATATAATACATGATATATGATACATAATATATGATATATAATATATAATATATAATATATAATACATGATATATGATACATAATATATAATATATAATATATAATATATAATATATAATATACAATATATAATATATAATATATAATATATAATATATAATATATAATATATAATATAATATAATACAATACAATATAATATCATATCATGTCATATAATATAATATACAATAAATAATATATAATAAATAATGAATAATATATATATAATATAATATATAATATAATATATAATAAATAATATATAATATATAATAACTAATAAATAATATAATATATATATAGTATATAATATATTATATATAATATATACTATATAATATATAATATATATAGTATACAATATATACACTGTATACTATATAATATATAATATAAAATAATATAATATCATATAATATCATATAATAATATATATATAATAATTAATATCAATATAGAAATATATATATATACACATAATATATATATAATATAATGTATTTAATAAATATATATATATATTTAATAGGGATAAAATAAGGATATCAATGGAATATTGGTTACCCTTCGGTGTCATCAAACAGGGCTGGGAAATCCCAGATCAAAATGGAGGGTGTCAATTGGAGGTTTTCTTCAGCACGCCGTGTTTGATTATCAGCGGGTAAACAGGAATTTAACATATAGATATCTGGGTATATTATACTCTATATAGTGGGATATCACGGAGAAATTTGACATATAGTAAATTTGACTCACATTTGCATTTGTGAAGGTTCTGACACATCAAACATAGTGAGACAATTTTTTTGAGGAACTGCAGCAGATCGTAACCCCTGGTGGGTTATCCAATTTGTTTCGGGTGTGACTGGGGTGATCCTAACCAGTTAAGATTCATACAGTGGGTGGAGCAGCAAGCGAAAGCCCTGTTGATGGGTTTTGAAATAGAGGTCATACTCTATATATATATAATATACATTATATAAGTTATAGTCCCATAATAGGGATACCTACCAACCAGTGTAATGAGACGGGATAGGCTTGTGTTTATGGATGTTCATGATGGATCTCCGGTTGGATGTCAGGCAAAAACCTGCGGGAATCTAATTATTGAGGGCACCTGACAAATTGATCTACCAGCCTACCACTTCTTGATGAGAATACTACTCCCAGTGTAGCAATCTTTGTGAAAGAATCTAGGAATATCTAATCTACCAACGATGCAGTGCAGGACTTAGGACTTAGGCATTGCAAATTTGGCCCGTCAGAACTTGGTGATAATTTTTTTGCTGGGTCTCTTTCCACTTAGATTGATGGCATATATATATATGTATATGTATTATATACATGTGAGCTATAAACCGCTTGCCTCATGGGGATGCACATCGAGGGGACTATTCGATGGTTTGATGATTTAGATGCAGGACGACGCCCCTGGTGGATTTTGCCAATAAGAACGTTAGATTCAACGGTGGATTTTACGACGACATGCTCTAGGTGGATAGGTTCCCTTGGGGAACGTAACGATTCCCAGCAAGAAACCTTCATTTTGACCGGGATTTCCTTGATGACACCAGAGTCGCATGACCCCGCAAGGGCGTTGCTGAAACATCAGGTGAGGGAAATATTGGCGTGTAGTGTCTGATAAACAATGCGGTTCTACTGTAAAAGAAATCGCCAGGACCAGCACACACTGCTGGTCATATGGTTTTTTTCCACCAGAGAAAACTCCAAAGTCTTTATTTGATGGCCTATTTCAGCATCTAGGATCCCATGTTTCGGCTTCCTATCGCCAGACCTGTCTCATGACTTGCAGCAATTACCATAGTTTCATCATCATTTCATATAGATTACCATAGTGATATAGGCATTTCAAAAAAATGCCATAGATTCATACGTTTCCCCTATACTCAGGGCCATATCCCATGGTTTGATCATGATTTTTGGTGAGTTCTCACGGTCTAACGCTCGCCAGGTCATGGGTAAGTTGGGTGGCGCGGCCAAACGGCGCACGGGCTGGCAGGTGCGGTTCATTGCTCCGGATTTTGATGGAATTTTATGGATGATTTTGATGTCTTTTTTTGGCAACCCGAAAGTTGGAAATTGGGCAAAATCTGTTTGAAAAATAGCTGCGCTGCTGACTTTTTCGATCCTTTTGGGGGACTATAACTATGGTTGAAGGTTCAGAAGCTGGGATATAACCTCTGTAACCATATGGTTCATAAGCTTTGATATAACTATGGTTATAAGAAGGTAGTAGAAATGGATGTATACCCATTGATCAATAGCACATCCACCCCCAAGTGTTTGATGGGCTTCTCTGGTTAACCAAAAGTATAGGGCCATAAAACCAAGAAGTCTATGTGGATACAATGTAGGATTGAATAGGACGCAACCCGCAAGATGGGGAATATGGGTCTGTCCATTGGGGATACCCAAAGTAGAAGTTTTTTCATGGAAAACATATTATCAACCACTGGAGTTTAGAGACACCCTATTTTTAGATAAGCCTATCTGGATCCATGTTTCGGAAATTTCAAAATCCTTGGATTTGGCGCACTCAAAATGAGTGAGAACCAAGGATTTGGCAATACGTGCATGGAACCAGAATTTTTGGATTCCATTATGGGATGGATGACCATTACCCATCTAATGAGCATTCACTATGGGGCACCTGTGTAGTAAAATATCCATTATCCACTATTATTCACCGTGATTCACCAGCACCTATAATTTTTGGATTATTTGGGGGTACCCCCCACTTTAGGAAACCTCCATATGTAGCAAAATCAAGATTCTTACCCTCTGGTAAACTAACATAGCGAACTGGAAAATGTGATTTATAGTTGGTTTACCTATTAAAGATGGTGATTTACCTATTAAAAATGGTGGTTCCCATAGCTTTTCATATTAAACATGGTGATTTTCCAGTTTGTTTACCAAAGGGTAGCCATCATTTTTGCCATGGCACCAGCTTTGCATGGAGCAGGTGTCCTTAAGCAACTATGACACTGAAGTGACCCGCCGAAGCCAAGTCGTTGTAGGGGCCGATGGCAGCCTGGTGGTGATGTCATCAGCTGAATTTCTAGCTGCTAAGCAAATACATGTCATACACTGTATTCAAATGGTATTAGATATGGTTAAATAAATGCATTCTATCATGATATTTATGTATAGAGATATGTATACTGTACAACTGTATAACATATGTATTCTGGGTGGTGGTTTGGAACATGGCTTTTATGACTTTCCATATATTGGGAATGTCATCATCCCAACTGACGAACTCCTATTTTTCAGAGGGGTAGGTCAACCTCCAACCAGATTATTATTAACCATCATTAACCATTTAATAACCATGGTATTAACCATTATTAACAGTATATTAACCATCATTAATGATCCCATCATTATGGGCTAGGTCAACCTCCAACCAGCTCATTGGAATCTTCCCTGGCGCCGTTCCCTTCGCCGTTCCCTGGCGGCCGTTAAGGTCTTCGCGGTGCTGTGCGGCGACGTGGCGGTGGTGGGACTTCCGTGCCGCGGCGATGCGCCAGGGGCGCTACGCCATGGATGGTAAGCAATGGGTTTTGCCATGGATGGCCATGTAGTGTACCCTCTGGTAATTTAACATAGCTATTGAAAATGGTGATTTATAGTGGATTTACCCATTGAAAATGGTGATTTTCCATAGTTATGTTAGTTTACCAGAGGGTATATTGCCATACACGGGGATGTATGTAGTGTATGAATACATCGTATATATATATATATACACTAGACATGAATATTAATGATATATGGACAGACACTAAGAAATTAACTAAGGTTCATATTCTTTGCAGGTAATCTATCAGCCAGGCCAAGAAAAAAGGATCTTCCGTTGCTACGGCCGTCCTTGGTGAATATCATTGAGATTTGCCCTCTGGTAATCTGACATAGCCGTTGAATATGGCCGTCTTTGATATGCATCCTCTTTTGAGATAAATGGGTCATTTTTTATAGCTTTCTTAAATTAACGGAGAGTATCCCATCCATGGAAAGCCCTTCCTGACGGGAATGCATATCCAAGTAAATTTTGGTGAACGGTTGATAAAAATCATTATACAAAAGCAGAGTTTTCAGTTGGGATGTGCCAAGAATAGCAATGGTCAGTTCGCCTATTTTTTCAACGGGAACACCCATCTTATAGATGGTTTTTATATCAGCCACTTGCTAGTGGGTTGGTAGGCGGTCAATAAAGCTGGAGTTTCTCCAATATTTACGACTGTATAGTAGAACCCCAAAAGACAGAACAGTCATTTACCATTATTTGAGTTGGATTAGGATTCTGAGGTAGGGACTAATCCAATTAGGATATTATAGATTATAATTTAAAGGATTAGGATTCTACTAGTCCCTATTTAATTTTGTTAATCCTTTTTCTGAGGTTGTTATATAGGGCCTAGTCGCATCCCTTGTTCTTAAAATCTTCACACTCCCAGGAGGGGACGAAGTCACATATTTGGGACCAGACAATAAAGGTGTTAATATTTGGGGGATGGGATTATTCCTATGATTACTGGGGAAATCCAATTAGTTTTGATGCTTTGATCAGCATTTTTGATTGTTAAATCCCATATTTTGATGGTTAAATCCCAACTACGCATCCAAAAATTGTCACTGAATTCCCAGGATCGGTGCCCCAAAACCCTCCAAGTGAGGCTCTTTCCAGAGTGGCGTGGTGCCGCATCGGGGTGACTCCATGGCTTGTTTTAAACGTGGACGCCGAGCTGTGAGGAAACATAAAAATCTGGATACCCGGCCTGGTAAACATACAGAAAACTATGGGAAATCACAATTTTTAATGGGTAAATCAACTATGTCTATGGCCATTTTCAATAGCGATGTTTGTTTACCAGAGGGTAAATTCAATTATTCTGGACAAATTATAGTGACCTCACGTCGTGACCTCACTGGAATCATGGGAATTGGATTCGGGGAATCACCCCGAAAGGCCGCAAGTTTCAGCTACTTTCAGGCGACGAACAATTACTGTAATTCAGTCAGAATGGAAACTGCTCGCAGTTTCAAAAAGCCATGATTTTTGAGAAAATTTAGCCATCAAAGCCTTGTTTTTCATGGGATGTTGTTAAGGGATTCATAGTTTCAATCCAGCCCTGCTGGATTCATTTTTTCTTTTGTGGGGAAATTTAAGCATCAAACGTGGGGATATGATGTGGATCCAGAAGTTCTGGTTGGTTGATGTTTATTATTATTATTATTATTTTTTAAATTATTCCTGGGGATAAATAACCATAAACACTTTAATAAACCATAGAAGATTTAAGGGGATATCATTGATAAATGATGGTTGGTTGATGATATCTTAAGTCTTAAGGCGTATTATCAGAATTCGTTTTGGGAACCAACCATGATGGGTTTCTTCCTCTCTAGGTTCTTGACACTGCTCAACTGTCGTTGTGAATGTGGTCTCAGTCCAGATTCTCAAGCAGTGTTTAGTAATATGTTGTGAACACTAATTCCAGAATGGTTCGTTTCTTTCAGAAGTAATTTCAACCTCTGGAAGAATTTGACGGTCTTTTCGTTTCAACGATACTTGACATTTACCCTAGGTTTTTTTTTTGAAAACCAGGTATAATGCACTTCAGCCAGCATCATCTCAGGGTCATCGAGTCATCGATTCAAGTCCAGTTGAGGCCTTTTTTCTTCAACCCTTCGCCAATGTTTGATGGCAAAATGAGTGGATTTAATCTGATGAGGAGGATTTACCCTCTGGTAATTTAACATAACTATGGAAAATCACCATTTTCAATGGGAAAATCCACTATTTCTATGGCCATTTTCAATAGCTATGTTAGTTTACCAGAGGGTATATGGGTGAATATCCCCAATCATGGTGAAATCATGGCGACATCCCCATTTTCGATTGTGACAAAATCGGCCCGGCCGGCCAGACTCAGCAACCGCCCGGAGCGCTACTTCGTCTTGCCACGAGAGGTACAGAACGGACGGGTTTCGTTTCTGGAAAGGTGTGGGGGATGGCTGATATGCCGAAACATGGGGAGAGATGGGGGCGATCATCAACAAAACAATGGTTTCATGAAACATGGTGATTTAATGGGATATTCATGATTTTTATGATGATGTTTCTTGTTTTATAATTTGTAACTCACCAGCGGCTATAATTAATCCCGTTCCCCAATTCATAACTAAAGTTCCCACAGAAACCATGGGAAAAAGGTAGGGGATTGGAAAACCATATTTGGGACCATAGAATGGAGGTGTTTCATATGAGGACATGGATTTAATCTGGATGCCGAGCAAAAACCATGGGAATATGAAGGTATGGATCAAAAATGGTGCAAAGAACCACGGGTTTCATCGGGGATTTTCCGTGCATGACCAACATCTGCGGTTCAAACTCCTCAAGCTATCTCAGATGTACTCTCCAGTAATTTAACAATGCAATGCAACATCACCCATTTATAGATGATGATTATATATATATATATATATATATACACACCATACATTTCCCGGTGAAAAGTTAAGAAATTTCCATTGCCAGGTTAATTTAGCAGAGGGTGTGTGCAGTTTGGATGGCAGGTCCGTCCGTATCTGCGGCCGGATGTGCACATCAACTATGGGCGCATGAGGCCTTGAGGGGGCCGAGGACACGGCTTAGAAAGCGTGTCTCCTTTGGTGCCTGGAACATGTGCAATGATTACTCTCTGGTAATTTAATATAGCAGTTGGAAACGGCCATTTATAGTTGATTTACCTATTAGCAAAATGATTTTCGATAGCTATGTTAATTTACCAGAGGGTACCAGAAAACGCATGGTTTCCCAGCCGACTAGAAGTGTAAGCCCTCTAAAGTTTCACTCAAATGTCGGTATGGAAGCATCCAAAGACGCCACACCGTGACTTTTCCTAGCGCCAATGGAGCAGCACTTAGTCGTGAAGCACGATCCAAATCAGGGCAGGATGATCCAATTTAAACCAACACATCACGTTTTTCAAATTGTTTATTGCTTATTTGAGCAGTAATCATCTTCCAAATGAAGCCACAAGCATCATCCAATGTTTGTGGCAGTTGGTGGTCTCATGTATTTTAATCATTCCTATTGTGACCCTCGTGATACCAGGCTACGGCCCTCCACCTGCTTCTTGCTGCTTCAGCTGGCAGGTGTGAAGGCCCGCAGGGGATGGCACGAAGAATACCTCTGTGTCTACCCAGTTTCCTCCACTTGTATCTGGGGTGTTGAGAGCAACCCAGTGTATATGTATAATATATATATATAATTATATATATACACATACATATATACATATGCATATATTGCAATACTTATACCCTGTAGATCCAGATACCTTCTCAGACAATGATCGGTCTAAATGTTGTTCATAATGGTCTTGGGGCCCAAAAGTGCCTCAGAATGGTCCGACCCTTCTGAGAGCAAGTTGGCACACATGCCTGATTTGGTTCCCTTTTTTCAGCTCGCCTGGGCATCCTTATGGCTCAGTGAAGCAGCTTGCGGGTTGATGTTGCTGTGATTTGTATCCTTTTGGCATCAATGCCTCTAGAAAAATGGCTTGAAACCGTCTGAAGATGGGAATCATTGTCATCAAAAAGGCTGCCAATGAAATAAACACTTATTTCGAATTTAGATTTATGGACATGCTAAATTAATAACCCAACAATATCGAATTAATACAGCTCCATTTGAAACACATATGGCCTGGGCTCTGCTGGCTAATGGGCCTTTTGCGCAGAGCTGCTCTGAGAAGTGCCCCAAGTTCTGGTGGTGGGGTGTTTGTGTGTGAGGGAGGGGTTTGGTGTTCGAAGTAGCTGTACAGGTATATGCATCTGGTATTCAACCGGCATGGACCCATCATTTTCTGGCTGGACTACTTTATATTTGTGGATTGAACCGTCCTTTTTGTTTTTTTGGATCCATCTAGGGTTTCAACACCATGCCAACCGGCGCAACATGGGCTCAGCACTGGCCTCACCTTTTCCAACCTCGGCCCGGGATGGCAGTGGTCTTTGTGGAGACCAAGCATGAGGATGGGTCCAGGCAAATCCAATCCCCCATGAAGTTTCGAGCATCAGCATCTTGAGTGGCAATTGAGTTTTCAAAATCATGTTAAACAACAATTCGACCGATCATTGATCACTAAGTGAGAAGGTATCTGGATCTACAGGGGATATGATTTGGTTAGGTAAAATTTGAAAGCAATATTGCACATATATACTTTGCATAGCTGCCCCCATATAGTTGTGGTTTCACGGTTTCCTGCCTTCTTAGGCAAAAGCAACTTTGATCTATAATGGAATCTGGTCCTATGTGAAGAATAGTGGGCATGACGTCTTGCATGGCACCGCACCTTGGTTCTTATTTTTGTTTGTACTGACTTGGCCATGACCTATATGATATATTTTTTAGTCTATCGAACCTTGAACTGAGGAAGTTACAGTTTGCAATTGGATGCGAGATCATGAGAATTCTCTGGTCTGGGACTCATGTGGCCTTACCCAATTTTGTCGTTGTTTTGATTCAAACAGATTTGAAGGGGAAAATAAATAAATTTTGCCTGCTGTATTCTACAGGTGTATGAAGACGATGTGGAGCGGAACTACCAGCTACTGGTTGAGCTCTTGATTGCCTTGAAGGACGTGATTAGACAGGATGGTCTTCCCTTTGTCAAAGACCTACAGGCCATGTGGGTTATTGATGTGTCATCGATGGAAGCCCAAAACTTTAGTGACATAGCCCTGGGTGCATGATGTTCTTTTTTTCATATCTTGATTGTATTGTGACCGGCAAATTCACTGGTCTGGTGAGCTGTTCATACATCCATTCCCAACCAATGCCTGCATCAGGGTGGCTATTTGCTGGCCACGTTGCTTCACAATTGGCACAAGCCCCTTTACACCAAGAGGGGTGGCAAGACACAAATCAAGGAGCCATGGGTTTGTTCTTTATTGAGTTTAATTTTGTTATCCCTCCCCATGACTGCCACTCACACAGGATTGGGCTTCCGAGCAAGCAATGCAGACTCGCTCCATTCTTGGTCACTTGCACAGCCTGTCACGCAAGGCTTCTTCATCAAGGTGAGGTTTGGGGTGGACTAAATATACAGCTAATATATTTTATCTTATATAATATTTAATATATATTAGGGTTTTATATGTTGTCGATGCCTTGGACTTCCCATCTCGTTGCTTTAGCAATAAATTATGCACTGCCCATGCAGGAATCAGAAGCTGCAGGTTTTGAAGACACTGTATCTTCGGCTGATCGGGAAAGAGGCCTGGTGAGCCAAGATGTGGTATCCACTAGGCTAGATTAGATGTGCCATGCACTGTTCCAGGTTGCTGTCCTACTTGATGTTCCTGCTACACATGAAGAGGAGTTTGTCAACCTTCTGGTTCATATGCCAAACTTAGTCATGCTTCAGATCACTTCCCGCATGCTCCCGAATTTGGAAGGAGATGCAACAACATTTGGTTGTGGATGTCGATGATGAGCCCATCGTTCTTGAGGCCTGATGATTGCATTGTTGGTACATTAAAAAAAAACATGCATCTCCATTCCACTGTGGCATATCCCAGCCCAGCACTGACTCCCAAGTCTCAACCTTGATGCCAGGATGGAGCATTGATTTGCATCAAGGACTGGCATCTGATTGGGGTCCATGTGTGAAATTCATGAGTTCGCTAGAATGGGTGTG